ATAATATAATATAATATAATATAATATAATATAATATAATATAATATAATATAATATAATATAATATGTCTATGGGATTTATGGCTATGACAGATAGTCTGGACCAGAAACGGACCTGAAAACGTTTCCTGGTCCCACTGGTTCCCCCTGCTGGTCACAGTCAAAACTTCATTTCCATTTTAACCAAATTAATGAAAACCCCCAAAATAAACGAGTTTGACAGAAAGAAAACGGCATTTCAGCTCCAAAGATGATGGACAGAAGACAGCAAGAGGACGGAGAGATGGAGGAGGATCAGATTATAAATCTGTTTCTGTTTAAATCTTTGTCTTTATTCTGCTAACGTCCAAAATGGAATTTCACAATAGGGTGTTTCCATTATGTAAGAAATTAAATCAAAATCACTCATGAATAAACTTGTTCACATGATGGTGCTAAAACTTTTAATCAAAAAATAAAATTGGTAGAGAATTTATGTTCAGATTCCAATTGGCTCAGTTCTTTGATGAATAGAAACACGGCGTGTGTTGAGCTGATGAAGGGTCAGACTGGAAACGGTTTCCCTTCGTCTGCCGCGATCCGGGATCGGCCGCCGCGATCCGGGATCGGCCGCAGCGACACAAACTGAGTTAAAAAAATGTTTAAGGAATTCCAGATAATGTTCCAGAACGCTTGGAGAGCTAATGGAAACCTCTGGAGCTGGTTCTAACTTACTCCAGTCTGCCTAGAGATCAGCCTCCAGCTGACCTCCAGCTGTGTGTTTCAGGGAGGTGTGGGAGCTAGACCCTCCAGAGGTGGTGAACTCGGTGCTGCAGTACGCTGCGTGGGGCGTCTCCGGACAGCAGCTGGTGAGGTCCAAACCCGGTTCTGTTTAATCCTGAGACATTAAAATAAACCTGAACCAGAATATCGGCTGATGCATGAAGTTGTTATTGTAAATGTTATGTAAATCAGATGTTATTGTAAATCATGGTCGGATGCTCCACAGATAAAGTGCTGATCAATTCTAGGATCTTATTGTTGTGCCCGTATGCTCTATATGCGCAGATCTACATATTTGAAAACAACATCTACTACAGATCTCACGTGAAGAGCAACTCTCTGCGGCTCACGTCTTCTGGAAAGGAAGGAGTCATCTTCAACGGAATCGCTGACTGGCTCTATGAAGGTTCGGCCCGTTTCTACTCCGTCTAGAACCAGAACCGGACGTTTTCTACGTCAGTTCGATGTTCTAGATCAGAAGTCTTCAACATGGGCGTCACATTGATAAAATTAACACACAGAGGTGTGATATGGTGGCGGTGCTTCCCGTCAGACGGTTGGATGAATCTTGTTCTCGCTATCCGCTCTATGAAGAAGCAGAAAATAAGAAATAGCTTCTGTTTTATTGTTGGAAACGTCCTCTAAGTACATGGATATGATTCCATGAACTTTGTTATTGTTTGTTATTGGGAGCGAAAATACTGTTCTGCAATGTTAGCTTTGTGGCTAGTATGCTAGTTGCCCCGCTAGCTTACCGGCTAACTTGTTAGCTAGCAGTGGCATTACTAGACAATGATATTGTTAAAAGGTGAACTATATAAAAAAATTTAAAAATTCCCCTCTCACCCTCCGTGGGTGGTCTCTTTCATCCTCTGAGCTCGGGTCCTCTACCAGA